TTGAATTTGACTCGGTTTTGCTTGATCAGCTGTTCACAAGCATCAACATTCATTCAGTTCATCCTAACTTTTTTCCTCAAGGACTTTCAACTTTACACAACTAAACAAGCAAATTCAATGGAAACATCCAAGCCAGTTTGCTTCACTTGGAGACCACTGTTTATTCATTCGTTATTTAAATTTATATCCCACCCAGCAAGTATATAAGTAGCCTTCATTGACCCGGCATCCTCCAGATATTTTGGGCTAGGGCTTCCATTTGTTTGTTTATTTCACAAGATTTAGATACCACTTGATTGCAATGAAACTACAAAGCTGCTTACAAAGAGAATACAAAATTAAGATTATCAGTAAGAAAAAAACAGACAAAACAACTATTTCATGCATTTAAAAATAATTAAAGTGAATGATAACCCAAATATCAGATTAAAACACATGTCAACGCTCTACATGTCTGGATAGGCTTGCCTAAACAAAAATGTTTATAGCAGGCACCAAAAAAGACTAATCAGGTGCCTGACTGATGTCAATATGGAGGGAGTTCCAAACTGTGGGTGCTGCCACACTAAAAGATGGATTTCTTACAAATGTGAAATGAGTATTACAAGTATTATATGGCACCTGTAGCTATGCCAGTTCCACAGAGCAAAGAGGTCAAGTTGGCCTATGAGGTAAGGTAATCTCCCATCAGCAGCTCCATGGCTGCACAAAACACCTAGAAGGCATGAGGTTGGTAATGGCTGCTGTGTACTCATAGTGAACTCAGGTTCCAAGTATAGCTTCTTATATGCCAGAAATTGCATCCTTCCAGTACAAGAAGATGCCAGCAGGTTCAAGGAAAGTCCAGGACACCACACTGACTACCCGTGATTTATCGAGGGGGAATTAAATGAGCATCTCTGGAAAAGGGTCTCCTAAACCTCAGAACAGCAATCAAAAAAATCCCTCTTTTAAAATTGCATTTGCATCCAAGCTTTTTCTCCAAGGACCTCAAAGTGGCATTCATGGTTCTGCGCCACCTCTTTTAATTCCCAGAGCAACCCTTTGGGATCAGTTAGCCTGAGAGGCAGTGACTGGCCCAATACCACCCCCGGAGTTTCATCACCAAGTAGGGATTCAAACCATGGTCTCCCAGATTCTACTATGACATTATAACTACAACACCACACTCTTCTTTCTTTTCTCTTGCCCCTGTCCAACATGCCTCACCTATTTATGGGACATAAAGAAAAGCCTCTCCCAAAGAACTTAAAATTCAGGCAGGTAAACTTGAGTCATATGAGGTTGTAGCAGCTGGCCAACCATGTGTGGTCTTAATATCAAAGGCTCCACCTACAACTTTATTTATTTATTTAGGTAAATTATCTACTTGTAAGAGGCAGTGAATGTATTTGCAACAGGCAAATATAACACAATTCTTATTTCTGATAGCTGCATCAGTCAGGTCCCTCACCCTCCAATCACTTGCTAGAAAAGTATTAACTAGTATTAACTAGTGGCCTAAAATGATTGAGATGTGGGGTCTGATGCACCTCAGTAAGGAAGAAAGAAGGTCCACACATGAGGAGCCAGCAATGAAAATGCCTTTTCCTGGGACCCCACAGTACAAGCCTCAGCTAAAGCATCCATGACAGATGGCCATGCAAGCTTTGCTTAAAAACCTCCAAGGGAAGGAGGCGCACCTGTACCTTTAGATCAGGAGTGGGGTACCTGTGGTCCTCCCGGTGTTGCTAGACTACAAATCTTATCATTCTTGACTATTGACCATGCTGGCTGGGGCCAATAGGAGCTGAGGTTCTCCAGCCCTGCTTTAGACCATATGATAAGAGAAGCATCATAGAGAGCACCCTACTGGCTGTGTATCAAGTGGCATCAATGCTGTAATTCCCAGGTCCCATTTTACCAGGAATCACAAGAAAGGGGCACCCTATTTCTCATGGCTATTGAGACTTGTTATAATGGGATATGCCTGGCTCCACATCCCAGGCTGCATAACGTTTTGCTGAGACTCTTCTGTGCTGACACATGATGTGGGTCAGCAATGGTGGGAGGACCACCAGCCCTATAGGAAACATCTGTGGGACGTGCGCATGAAAAGGAATCTGAGCAACAAATATGAAAATTAATACTGTCAGAAAAATTTTAAAAAAGAGAGATAACTAATTCAAGGGAATTTAGTGCAAAGTGTTGCATGTGCTATTTCTCTCCACGTCTTTTCATTCTATCTGGAAGTCTGAATGTGCTTTTATAGATTGGATTTAAGGGCAGAGGAACCATATGGAGCTTATCATTCTTGCAGGAACCCTGAAGGCATTTCTCCTCCTCCAAGGGGTGTGTTGATTAGCCTGAATTTAATTTATTTTCCCTGAGGAAGAGTACTGAAAGCTCATCTGTATGGACGGTATTCTTGCAATTTTTTTCCTTTTTTATCATGGGACCCATTTTGTCTCCGTTTTACTTTCACTACATCACTCGCTTTCTTTTTTAATTTTGGCAACGCATCTTCCTGCACGTGTCCAAAATTGAGCCTTGCTACAATTACTGCTTATGGGCAAATGCATCAAATGCGGGGCGGGGGGGGAGCTCTGAGGCAGAGAATCAAGCAAGAACAAAAAGAGATTGTCAGTGCTGATGGAGCCAAAGCAGAGCCGAAACATGGGCTCCTGTATATCATTCCTGATACTACTACTGTGGTTTTGGATTCTTCCTCATACCAGAAGGGTAGGACTAAAACAGAATGTGCATATTCATGCAAGTTGATTGATCGCTTCATGATTCAGGGGAAATAAAGAGTGTGCAAGTTTACAACAACATGGAATCAGGAGACTAACAGCATATCATAAGCTAAAAGCAGACGGGAACTTGCAACATTAGCAAAGCAAGACACACATAGCATGTCTGGGCAAGAGTTCTAAACAGAAAGGTGATTGACACAAGTTTTTTTTTTTTGCTTTGTTTTGTTTTGTTTTTGTGAAGGACTGCGTGACAAGTGTCTAAGTGAGGATTTGGAGGCAGGACGTGGTGTACTGTGTCAGGAGACTAAAATTGCTGACTGGGCTTAAACAGGAAAGCAATAATTGGGCTTGCCAATCAGAAAGAGACAGTCCAAAGAGGATGGAGATAGTGAAAGAGGATAAAAGACTATGGATTGATCAGCACACGTGGTAGAGAGATGTGTAATATATGGAACAGAGGAATTAAGTGCAAGAAAGAAGCAAAATAGCCTTTGTATGTGTTCTTTATTCTTTTATTACTTACTTACTCCCTTATTCTCTTACTGTTAACATAAATTTAGCATTGCTTGGTTCAGAACATGGTCTCCAGTAGGCACCATACTGGAGAGTGTTTAGGTAATACTATTTTAAAAGCCCATAAAATAAAAGCAAACAATTAGCAACAAAGCAATTATTCAACTGAAACATCTGCTTTGGGGGCCAGCAGCAAACAACAAAAAGCAATCTGAAAGCCCATTTATAAACTAATGAAAAGCCAATAAAACATCAAACATGACACTGGGGGAGCTGATAAGGCAGCGCCACCAAAATATCCCTGTGGCTAGTTCACCTCAAAAAGTGGGAGGGATAGGAACTGGGCCTCTGATTGAGCAGGTTTATTTGAGAATCAGTGGCCCTTCAAATACCCTAATGTTGGATTATTTGATTGTTTGATTATTTGTTTGTTGTTAGCCGCCCTGAGCCTGGCTTTGGCTGGGGAGGGCGGGATATAAATAAAATTTATTATTATTATTATTATTATAATCCAAAACCATTTAGGTCCTCCAAGTGTTAAAACCAGTTCTTTGAACGGTGCCTGAGCCATACACAGAGACAGGTGGGGAGACAGGAGCCATGGGGCCAGTCATTGCTATGGACTGAAGAGGAGAAACCAGGATACAGGGTTGAGTGAAGTAAACCAAAAGTCAAGACTGAAGAACAAGTTGAAGCTGAAGGAGGCAGGGCTGAGGAACAAGCCAAAAGTCAGGACCAAATCACAACCTGGAGAAAAAGTAATGGAGCATGGGGGAAAACCAGGACTGAACAATAACCAAGACTACACCAAAGCTCAGGAAGACCATGTTGCTCAGCCAGGACTGAGTTGGAGCAGGAAACCCTTTGGACTCCTTTCTGCCCAAGAGTATACACACACAGCCTGAAGAGGCTTCATTGAGAAGTTGCCATCTATAGTTCAGCCATTCACCACATGGGGCAGCTGCACACAGATGCAGCAGTTCCTGGCAACTAGCAAGATACTATTTATTTCTAGATCTAGCTGTATTCTGGACCAGGATAAATATCCAAACTGTCTTCAATGGCTATTCTGCATGAAGACCAGGAAATTACGGAGCCCACTGCCTGCTTTTGTTAATCAGTGCCATGCTTTGGTTCCAGAAAGGCATCACTCCAGCCACATGAAGAGCGTGCAGTCTGCTTAAATGAGGACTCAAATGAGCATCACTGTGGAATTGTGGATTAACAGCTGAACATATGAACCAGGCTTATAGTCAGGCAACTTTTCTCAGTGTTGCCTTCACTGACTAGTAGTGACTCATCTAGGTCTCAGAGAGAGGTCCTTCCTCTCTCTGGTCCAGAGCCAGTGGACCACTGGCTACCTGGTCCACTTAACTGAATATATCAGCAAATTGACCTTGGAACATTCTGCATGTAAAGCATGTGCTCTACTATTGATCTAAGAATCCACTAACAGTAGCCTGCATCTGCATACAGATCTCTCTTCCTGGATCAGTGCATATTGGTTAAAATGCTTATGCACAAAATGCCAGGGTCTGTGTGTTAGAATCTGCTTCGTTTGCATTTTAATGTGAAGTTCTTTGGATTCTGCTTCCTAAATCAATGCATGAACCAAAACACAGCTCTCCTTTCAGGTTTGTACTTTTGCAATACAGTTCTCCAACTACACAGGTTGTATAAAAATCCATACCAGTGAAAAATGCAGACAAAAGGGCATATATAGTTTAATAATGAACACAAATGAATTCTCAGGTCCTGCTTGTGGGCTTCCTATAGGCATCAGGTTGGGCACTATGAGAACAGGATGCTGGACTAAACGGCTCATTGGACTGATCTAGCAGGCTATTCTTATGTTCTTATCCCTATATTAAGAGAAATTAACACAATAATGTGATTGAATGTTCATACTGACCATAAATAAATCACAAGAGTATGTGGAAACAGGACATGCCAAACTTAAGTTTGGAAAAATAGGGAGAGTAAGATAGAAACTGACAGATTCCGCTATCCCTAGCATGGTGACTTTACCACAAACCTACAAGTCATCTTAACAAAACTTTGTGATGTCATGCCTAGCCAATAGTTTCCTTGAACCAAAGCAGAAGTGCATTTATATTGTGTCTATGGAACAGATGGATGCTGCATTTAGATTGGCTTTGCATGCAATATATATCTATTTCATATTTTCCACAACTGTAGCAATTTGTACTCAGCGAAGTGTTGAATGCCTATAGGACTTGTGCTTACTAAATATAGACAGATCAAGATAAACGTTGGCCCTCTAATAATTTCCGATTTCTCCAAGGCGCCAGCCCTGTAGCAGCAGATTAGCAATTTCAAGGTGTATACATAGAAAGATTGTTTTCATGTTTATCAATCTGCATATTTAAGCAGCCCCGTTCCTCTGTACGGTCTGAAATGAGATGCTCAATTTGGCTCTGATGTTTCACTGGGAGTCAACATTTATGATTCACTGCCTTCAAATAAAAATGTGTGGCTTGGGTTTAGGGATTCGGCAGGTTTTATAGCACTGCAATGCAAACTGCACACTCTTTGAGACTGAGAAATGAATCCAGTGTCCAATAACTAACACAAGAAGAGCCCTTCTGAATCAGACCAAGGGTTTATCTAAATCAACATCCTGTTTCCCACAGCAGCCAGCCACAAAATTGGCTGGCTAGATGGAGTAGAGCCACTACACTAATCTATCAGGTGCTTACTGGAAGGGAGAGAGGGCATGCCAAGGCAGCAGGGAGGTTGATGTAGTGAAAGTGTACTGCCAGGAGTGACCGATTGGCTCTGCAAGCATGTTTGCACTGCACCAACCACCTTGCTGCATAGCCTTCCTCTTTCCTTCCAGCAAGCAGCAGTGACCAGTCTGCCAGGAAATTCGTGCAGCAGCTCTGCCCTGTCCAGTGAGCTGCTTCTGGCCAAGCAGAAACCCACAAGTACAATTTGAAGGCAAGCGTCCTTTCCTACTCACAATCCACAGTGACTAATATTCAAGGCATGCTGCCTCTAATTCTGGAGGTGGTATATAGACAGCCTGACCTATAGCTATTATGGTGCAGTCCTATTATCCAGCTGTGCCATCTCGGATTTCCCTACAGGATTGCTCATTTGAAAACTGCACAATGCATTATACTTTGACACTAAGTCATTCATCTTGGTCTGTTTTATATCTCACCTCTAGCACAGCATTAACTTACTAGGTGGCCTTAGGCAAGTCAGTACCTCCCTACCTCAGTCTTTCTATCTGCAAATTGGGGGCAATAATACTTACCCTGTTGTGGTGAAGATTACAGCTAGAAAATGCATGTGAAGCACTTTGTATGTTTAAAAATGTTAGCCAAATGTTAACCATTATTATTATTATTCATTCATTCACTACCATCAATGTATAGGGCCCTTTACAAGGTTATATGAAGGCAGAAAAATTAGTTCCCTGCCCCAAATATTTTCCCATCTAAATTTCAACAACATAGGAAAGGCAACAGCTGCTTATCAAGGGCAATCAAAAGAGTGGCTGACTCTCCCTCCTGTTCTTTGTAGCATGTCAAAGACAAATGGTATTGAAAAGAATTCCTGAAGAATCAGTTTTAAACCCTGTTAAGTCCCTGGTGCCTTAACATTTCTCTACTGTATTTTAAAAAAAAATTCTCCAATGCAAGAAATTCTCATGATTTAAAAAATAATAATTATTTGCCTGCTAGCAGATGACATGTTATCTTTTACTTAAATAACCTCCATACACAAAGTATGACTAGTTTATAATGCCTACCACATGAGATGCAATGCATCTTATTTCTTCCTTTTGGTATTTGCATTTAGAATACCTTAGCATTTCACTGGAGAGAGAAAATGGCAGTTGATATTAAAAAGAGAGAGAGAGAGAGAAATACCTGTTTCAGTCATAATTTTGGGGTCTAGAAATTAGCAAGAAACATGACCCTCAAAGCTCTCAATAAGACTAGAGGTTCACAGAACACAAATCCCAGCTTATAAAAGAGGGTTTAATTATGTGCGTGTTTCCTTGACAGTCAGCCCCATTGAACTAAATGATACTTACTCCCAAGTAAACACATGCAGGGTCAGTCTGCAAGCAATTTCATAAAAGCCAGCTAAACTCTTCCTTTGACTTTGAAAGCGATGTTATTGCTCCATGAGGCTGAGTCCAATCGCTGCATTAAACTGATAACACATGTCTATATATCTTAAGGGAAAGTAATAAACCCTGCTGTGAAATGCTATTTCCGTAGTCTCTTTGAGGGAAGATAACTTTTTACACAAACTCATTTTTCATTTCCACAGCATTGTCTTCTCTGTGCAACAGGATATAAGATGACTTCGCAAGCAACTTTGGAAACGAGTCACAGTGACTGACAGTGCTGCGCCCTTTTTCTACAAAGCCCGCCCACCTTGATGAATGACTTTAAGAATGAAAATTTATTTCAAAGGAATATCGTGGAGACAGAATACAGGAGATCAACACAGCTAATCTGCCGAATGGTTCTTTAAAGGCAGCAGTAGAACTAATTTCCGCTGCCAAACTAAGCAATTTAGCAGAGAAAACAGCATTCCGCTTAATAAAACACACATGGCCACTTGCTTCTCCTGTAGCTAACAAGTCAATTAGGGGCTTTTCCAGCACTGTATTTTAAGGGTTGACATTCCAGCACCCATGGGTGTCACTGCACCCGCCATTACCACCTGGGTAAAGATCCCCTCACAATCCACAGCCACAGGAGACTATTCTTCTTGGTTAGTTTGTGTCCATGCTGCCTTGGCACCTCCTAAATTGAAGTTGCCCTCTTAAACACGCCCCCATTTCACTGGATGTCAGGATGCCGATGCATCTCATGCTGAACAGAGGAGAGGTAAAAGGAGTTTTCTCTGCAACTAAGTGCAGTAGTGGCTGGTGTAGGTTCATCTTCCCCTAATGATGGATACTTGCACCAATTGGGGGCATTGTCTCTTTTTCTGCTCTTTCACGTGCAGCGCCCATTTCTGTGTTGTTCCAATGGCAGCCATTTTGGAACTGGTGCTAATGGCACTTCCTCAAAATTCAAAATGTGCCCGCTGGCCCAGAAAGGTTGACAATCCCTGCTACATTTGGTGATCTCAGAGACACTGCAGATAGCAAACTCCTTCCCATGCTGCTCAGGGTTATGAGTCTGAGATCATATGGAAGAATACCATGCTGTGGCTCCTTCCCACATCCATGTTGCTCCTCTTGGGAATAGGAAGAGCAATGTGTTCTACGCTGGATTGTCACTTCTGTAACTGGACAGGATCAGAAGTTATTAAGTAAGGAGCTAATGACAAATGGCAGCTGATTTGTCTTTTTCCTCCTCCATTATTTGTGAATGAAGTCTGCAGGGTGTGAGAAAGAAACAGATACAAGTGACTGGTAAGTAGCCCTGACCAGTAATTCAAAAAGGTGCTTTTTCCTCTATAGTGGCATTTCAGAACTGTCACAAGTAACAGAGCCAAGAGTTAGGGTTATCCACACTTTTGCTAGTCCCACCACTTTCCCCCTAGAAAACCACCTCATTACTGCTGAACCAAAGCAAATCAGTCAATCAGGACTGACGTTTGCTCATTTCAGTGGTCAAGAGCAGGTTTTCCAGGAGAAATCAGCTGGGCAAATGGAAAACCGCCCTGACCCATGTATAAAAATCATAGGACAAGCAGAAAACCTCTCAGACTCATGCTTTCTAGGTGCAGGACAAGCAAAGTTTGGACGAGCCCTTAGTCCTTCATTTTCACAACCACAGTATAGAAGATATATTCAAAAAAGAAAGAAAGAAAATATGATATCCAGCTACACCTGATTTATACAGGCATCCCCTTTATCTCTTGACCCGTCACCTGTTTCAGTTGCTGCATTGTTTTTATTACATGTTTCAGTTATAGCTGCTTATATGTTAATATTTTGATGGAATTGTTTTATTGTGTTTTTTAATTATGCATGCTTATATTTTTATGTTTGTGTGACTGGTTTTTGTGCTTGTAAAGCACTTAGAAGCATATTTCCCTTTCAACTGCTTTACCAAGTTCTGTCACTCTCCGTATGAGGCCCCATCAGCACTATGCATTTAAAGCAGTATCAGGCCACCATAGCTTCTCCCAAAGTGTTGTTAAGAGACACCTATTCACCTCTTACAGCTGGTCTGCATAGTGGTTTAAAAGTCAATCCCTCTTTCTAGGGAACTCTGGGAAATGTAGCTCTGTGAGAGGCACAGGGATCTCCTAAAACCTCTCAGCACCCTTAACAAACTACCATTTTAAGGATTCTTTGGGAGAAGCCATTAAATTGATGTGATATTACTTTAAAGTTATAGTGTAGATGACACCTGAGTTAACCTTGACTGCAATCCTATCCATTCTTACCTGGGAGTAAGTTCTGTTGAACCCAGGCATGCCTAGGATTGCACTGTTAGTCCTGCATTCATCCCATCACTCTTTGCCTCCCAAGTGCATTACCTGTGGAAAGGGTAGTGGACACATTTTGCTGTCTCATCACAGAGGTGAAGACTTGCTTCTCCAGCCAAATCAGTTTCATGCCAAATGAGTTTTGTTCATTTGTTACATCCCAGCTCCATTGTCAAACAGCTTGATGGAATGCATTTCCTGCTCCTTCTGGGATGCAGTCTGCCAGACTCCCTAAAATGGCTATTAAATCACAAGAGCTACATCACTCTGATGATGTGGTGCCTGTGGAAGCAAGATGATAAATAACTCTACCTGAGCAATCACTAGAGGACAGAAGACCAGAAAAAGAAGGGAGGAATTAGGTACGCAAGTGTTGTCCTGATCAATGGGCTGAATCTGCTTTCCTTTCCAGTCAGATCTGTTGCTTTATTAGCAGTTCAGTAACAAAAGAAGAAGAAGCAAAGTACAGGATGTCCAGTTCTGGTGTAGTGAATCCCACAAGCAGGAGACTGCAGGTCTGATGAGTGGCACGAGTAGGAACAAGAATCCCACATACCAGCAAGCGCAGTTTGAAGCAGATCTTTCAGGACCTTGGATAGAGTCAAGGAAGCCATCTCACCTGACTCCTTTCATGCTCCCTGCGCCTGTCTGACTTTCTCGGTCCCCATTCCCTTCAGAAATGAAGCATATTTGATTGCATACATGATACACCTTTCAACCATTTCCAAATCACACTTTCCCTCAATTAATTCTTGGTGCTGTAGTTTACCCCTCAGAGAGTTACAATTCCCAGCAGCCCCTTAATAAACTAGTGCCCAGATGTAACTGTGCTTTGAATGTGCTTTACAGTATGTACATAGTCACTTGTCTTGAAGACTAACACTTCCTTCCCTCTGCGTGTGAGGCCCTTGAGGGATTCAGTTTCCAGGCTTGGGAGTCTCAAGAGCTCCCAAGTGGGGTTTTTTTTGGGGGGGGGTTCAATGGTAGGGCTTGGTCCCAGTGCCTCTTCACTCAGCACCCCTGTCCGACAGCCTCTCTGTCCATATCTGGGTCACTGTTGTATGTTGAGGTCATGACACAGAGGAGCATCCATGATCCATATAGCTCAGTATTTGCTACACTGATTGGCACTGACTCTCAAAGATTTCAGAAAGGGAAATGTCTCAGCCCTACCTGGAGATGCCAGTGATTGCACCTGAGACCATCTTCATGCAAAGCAGGTGCTCTACCACTGGGCTATGGGCCTTCTCTGCCAAAAATGCACATCCAGATGTTCATCAGCACTGCACAGGTGGATCTCCTTTGCTGAATTATAGTAGCTAGTTCTGTGTGCACATTAGTTTTCATGCTATAACTTAGCATTTGTCCAGTAGCGATATTGGAGGCAGGATGTCAGTTGGTGGGAATCACAAGTGAAGAGAGTGTTGCTACCTTCCATTCCTGCTTTTGGGAACATAAGCATTTGGTTGGCTACTGTGAGACCAGAATGCTGGACTACATGAGCCGTACATGCAGCAGGTCTCTTCTTAGGAGCTGCCCATATGAATAAGCCATCTTGGATGAAACCCCAGAGATGGATCTTATTCAGCATAGAGTATCACCTTGAAGTCAACATTTTTCAATAGCAGCAGTCCACAGGGTCATCCATTGGAGGACCAATTGATGATAATGACAGTTGTCAATGCTTTCTGAGGTACAATGCACCTATTCAGACTTGACCAGTATGTGAACACTGGAGAAATAAAATGATTGGCTGGAAATGCAATGTCATTAATACCTCCATGGTATAGATTAATTAGTGTAATATTGATATTATCATTATATAGATTTCAATTCAACTGTTGGTTTAATGTTATTATTTCCAAAAGCTGATTAAGAATAATGTTTAGGGGGGATTTCTAAGGGTGCAACCTTTAAAGCAGACATCCTCAACCACTTTGGAGGAACAAGGTCTGATGCTACTTAAACTGTTAAGTCAAAACAAAGGACCAAAAAGAAACAGATATCAAGTTAGACGCAAGCTATCAGGGCCTAAAGTGGGCCTTTTCTCTCCCTTTTCCCTTTAACAACTTGCTGCTTCTGAAAGAAGCTACTTCTAATGTATTAAAGATGATTTCCCAGTGAGTCTCACTGCTGTGAAATTCTATTTACTCTGCATTTATTTTTCTATTACCAACAACATTGGGAGCAGGCTTCTGAAATGGCTCCTTGGAATCGGTGAATCAATTTTATAGGAGAAGCCTTTTTGGTTTGGAACACAGCATATCGGTGCAGGCATGAATCTCCAGCCACAGCATAATGAAATGCTGACAATATTTGCATCCTAATTGTTTTACTGCTTCCTGGAGTGCCACATGATGCAGCCCTGAAGTAATGTCCATGATCTCTATCATGCTTGAAGCACAGATTAAAGAAATGGAGCCAGATTAGATATGAAGGGCAAATGAGAGCTGCAGTCATGGCATAATTTACAGCAGAGATCGCTAGGATCATCTTAAAAAGCAGAGACATCACCTTGCTGACAAAGGTCTGTATAGTTAAAGCTATGGTTTTCCCAGTAGTGATGTATGGAAGTGAGAGCTGGACCATAAAGAAGGCTGATCGCCGAAGAATTGATGCTTTTGAGACTCTTGAGAGTCCCATGGACTGCAAGAAGATCAAACCTATCCATTCTTAAGGAAACCAGCCCTGAGTGCTCACTGGAAGGACAGATCCTGAAGCTGAGGCTCCAATACTTTGGCCACCTCATGAGAAGAGAAGACTCCCTGGAAAAGACCCTGATGTTGGGAAAGATTGAGGGCACAAGGAGAAGGGGACGACAGAGGACGAGATGGTTGGATAGTGTTCTCGAAGCTACCAACATGAGTCTGACCAAACTGCGGGAGGCAGTGGGAGACAGGAGTGCCTGGTGGGCTCTGGTCCATGGGGTCACGAAGAGACGGACACGACTAAACGACTAAACAACAACAACAACAACTATATACATATATATATATATATATATATATATATATATATATATATATTACACGGTCAAACATATATACAATATAAAAATGTAAGAAAAGCACACTGTGTTGTTGTCTTAACATTGTGACATATGGGGTTGTTGCTAAGTTCTACTCAGAGTAGGTCCATTGAAATTAATGAATCTAAGTTAGTCTATTCTTGAGTACAACTAGCATTGGATACAACCCATAATAAATATTGCAAAAAGAAACAGAAGTGCTTCATCCCAATCCAAACAAATTTAGTACTATGTCTCATTGGACCCTTCTTTGACTCAGAAAAGAAAGGGCCAGCCAGATCCTTCAGACCTGCTGTACCACATGCAGAGGTGCTAGAATCCCAGCACCTTGGTTTCAACATGATCTCCAAAGGTTTTGGGGGCCCTAAATCAGGACCTCTGGAGTCCATTCTTTTAGAGCATGGGCTCCCACAAGGAATCCTGCCCACCCATACAACCCACACATCAAACAATCTGCAAGCAATAAAACTGGAAGGAATTGTCAGAAAGGAAGAGTAGGCTCTAAGCCACAGGCCTGTCCATTTAAGGCCTCAAGGAAGGGATTGAGTCTATCAGGTGGTGATCTGATCCTGGTGGAATAAAAGGCTTCAGTCCAGTCCTGTGCTTTGTTAGAGTAAGTGGATCTCTTGGAATGCACTATAGTGTTGCTGTGCTCCATGACTGAATTAATATGATCACGACAGGATGCTTCTATTTCTACTTCGATATGCAGCAGGTGAGGAATGGGCCATCAGGGCTTGCTGGTCATTTGCTGGCATCTAGTGCTTTAAGTGAGCCCTGATCTGCAAAAGCAGGCGCCAACCAGGTAATGACTCCTGAACAGGCCACATATGGAAATTGCCTGGAGACTCCACCTTGTAGAAGAAGGGCGGAGCACTCTCCAGCAGGTGCCTGATGGCTGGGAAGGAGCCCAGCTGCTATGTCTTTGGCAAAAGGAACAGAAGGGAGACAGGGAGGATATATAAAACCTCAGAGATGGAGAGGAAACTGAGTGAAAACACAAGAAATAGGATGGGTAAGCTGCTGCCTAAAGACTGGAGAAAGGTGATCCTTGCTTCCCTGTTGGAGTTTTTCATCAAGCTGGTCCTCTATAGCTGCCACTGGATGTGGCCTGACAACAAATATCAACAGTGTATGTTTGTCTACCCTGCCCACTGCTCTTCAACTTTAGTGCCCTAGGAAGGCTTAAATATAGGAGACCTATACTTAAGCCTTCCTAGGGCACTAAAGTTGAAGATTCATTTTTTTATTTTATTTTTTTGTGGGAAGAGCCTCTACTGAAATTGTGAGGCATCTCTGAAAGGAACTGACTGTCCCTGGTGTTTTGGACTTACTCCCAATGAGACAGAACTGGGGAAAGGAGACTTAGAATTTGAAGGTCTTGGAAACTTGAAGTGAATATTACCTATTCACTGCCTTACCAAGGTTTCAGATACCAGCATTTTTATAATCACCTGCTCCTTGTTCCTTTTTTTTAACTGAATATGTCAAAGATTGAACAAAAGGCCTTCCACATGCAAGTTTTGACTATTCCAGGTACAGTCCCGCACTCTCCATGCTGCTGAAATCTTCAGGTGTCGGGTAAAACAGCAATGTTAAGCACAACTCCCATGTTGCAAGAGCTTTGATGGTGGGATGACCATGGGCATCAGACTCCAGTACAAGCGTGTGATGCTCCTGTTGATTACAGTCATATTGCAAAAATGTTATTGGTAATAATGGATAAGAGCATCTTTGCTAATTGACCAAAATGGAAGAACACCTTCCATCTGCCTAAACAATGACAAAATGAGCAGGAAAATGTAAACAATATTTCTCTCTGTTACCTAAAATTGTGTATGCGTGCTTAACACATTCACCCATGAACATTGGTGCAACAATAAATCAAGATGACAATAGCAGCCAATATTATGACATGAGTCAATACTAATCGTTAGCCAGACTGTGCAATTGCCAACACTAAGAGAAAATTATTTTTGTAAATTAATACATCTGCTTCTAATTTGTTTGCTTCCCTGTCATTAAAGCAAAATTAAATTGTCTTTGATACATTCTGTAATAAATCAAAGCCTAACATGCAACCAATTCCCTGACAGGAGCAATCCACAAAAGGCGGGTATTGTTGAAATGATCATCCATTTTAGAAAACCAAGCTGACAGGAGCTGTGTACCTTGATATATTCGCCTCGTTACCATACATGAACCAAATGGGCAAAAGCCTGAGAGCTCATACTGAGAGTTCATCTTGCCAGCAGAGATAAAACATGGCACCAGCTGTGGCTAAATGCACCTCTGGATTTATAAGAGCCAATTCCAGCTCTCAAATTGTGTAAGTGTAGTAGTTAACGCTAATATTCAAAGACTGCAGTTGTCAAACATACAGGGATTATTTTAACCAAGTAAAAACTATAAAATAGGGATGAAGTACTCTTAGTACTGCAGATGATGATGGGTTCCAATTCCCATCAGCCCCAGTTAGCATAGAAAACCATCAGAGATTAGGGGAACAGCAGTCCTGCAATATCAGGAGAGCTACAGGATCCCTGCCTTTGCTATAAAATGGACATGAGACACAACTGGTATAGGAATCAGAGTGTTCAGTGAGAGGCTGTATTAGGGAAGCCATTCTGCGGATCACACATTAAGGGTGGGGAGGAACCTAGAGCACCTGTCACAACTTAATAACATTCTAAAAGATAGCTGAAGAAAAGTTCCTTCTGTTTCTGCATTGTGTCTGGAAAAAGTGCAGCAGAAAAAAAACCATCAATGCTTAGCATGTATGTATTACTTATAAAGCAGGGATGGAGGGCCTGTGGCCCTCCAAATATTGCTGGACCACAGTTGCCCTTTGGCCATGCTGGAGATGATGAGAAGTGGAGTCCAGCAACATTTGGAGACCCACTAGTTAACCATCCTGTCTTCCAACAAATGTGTAAGGTAGATCAATATGATTCCCTCCACAATGCAAATATGAAAAGCAGGTGCTGGGACCTCCTGATCTGTAGCTCAGTTTCCCAGCCACACCAGCTCAAAGATAAGGATAGCAAATGCTATGCCATGCACAACAAACATGTGCCACGAGGGATTGCCTGTAATTGTGGGGTATAAGGGAGAACTTCCGCAAATGGAGATTTTTCTTTCTTTCTTGCCTAGCTAGCTGTATCTACTGAAATTCCCTCTGCAGCACAGCTGATAAAAGTACAGGTAAGGATATGGGAAGCATTCAGTTCAGTTTGTATTCAGAGGTGAATCTACCTAATTCTCATTTTCCAATATGTGAACCAAAACACAGTCATCCTTCAAAATTTGCCTTTCTCTGAATTTTGGCATGCAGTTTTCCAGCTAAGTAATGTGTACAAAAATGCATATACTAGTGTACATTTAGCATAAAAATGCATTTGTTAGTCAAAATAACTCTGTTAAAGTCAGGGCAAGCAAAAAGCAAGATGGCAAGCTTGTTGAAGAACTATAAAATGGCAGGATGTACAAAACCACCAAGCTGTCCTATTGCTTATGCTTTTCAGATAAGAATACAAGCTCACAATCAAAGGATGGGGAACCTGTCAGACTCCCATCCCAAAACACCACAATAATGGCTCTTACTTAAGAATAAGTGAGAGATCTTTATTCGGTCTAATAGCAGTACAGGTTCAACAGCAAGCACAAGGTCCAGAAGTCAGTATCCATGCCAGAAATACATGAGCAAGGCAAGAGGTTCATGATCAAACAGAAGCTATGAAGATGTCCCAACAATTGACACACCCATCCCATCAAGCTTTTAAAGCTGAGGTCACCCATAGGACTCTTGCAACAAGTCTGCTGCATGCACATCTGCAGATGCACCTGATACCATCTATGAAGGTGGCACCTGGTTTTCAGTGACAAGACTGTGTCCTGCCCCTCTGCCTTCAGCTCCACTGCTACCTCCTCCTGCTCAGCCCCTACGACTGGCTGGTCAAAGTCCTCCCCACTCCCCAGTGTGACTCTGCACTCCATGAGCAGGGCTGAGAAGAGAGCCACCATGTCTACTTTCCTCTCTCAGACATCTAGAGTTGCAAGTGGAAGACCTCCTTTTGCCATCCACTGGTGCCAGTCTTCCAGCCCCAAACATCTGATCCTCCTCCTTCCTCCTCCTCCTCATTCATCTGGGGCTACCAAACCATGCCAGATCCTGATAGAGGCAAGGAACCCTTGACAGTGGAGGCCAACTCCCATCAGCCCCAATCAACATGGCTACTGATTAGGGATTATGGGAGTTGGGGCCTGGTGTGTCACAGCTTCTCCAATACTGCTCTAAGCTGTCTCTCACTTGACCATTCTTCCACAACCTGGGGTTGACCCTAGTACTATGCTGCCCTGTGCAAGGCCATTTGATGCCCTCCCCTCAGCCCTTGTAGCAGCAGATTAAGCTAGGCTTTGGGAAATAGGTGTGAGGCTCTAGCAAGGTCCCAGAGCCCTCCTAAAGGTAAAGGTAAAGGGACCACTGACTGTTAGGTCCAGTCACTGACAACTCTGGGGTTACGACGCTCATCTCGCTTTACTGGCCGAGGGAGCCGGCATTTGTCTGCAGACAGCTTCCAGGTCATGTGGCCAGCATGACAAAGGCGCTTCTGGCGAACCAGAGCAGTGCACAGAAATGCCGTTTATCTTCCCGCCGGAGCGGTACCTATTTATCTACTTGCACTTGGCATGCTTTTGAACTGCTAGGTTGGCAGGACCAGAGACCGAGCAATGGGAGCTCACCCCTTCTGATCGGCAAGCCCTAGGCTCTGTGGTTTAGACCACAGCACCACCCGCATCCCTAGAACCCTCCTACCTCCTTCCTAAAACCCAGTAAGCACTTGCTCAGATTGGGAAAGAGGCAGGAGGACTCTTTGACCCTGTCAGAGCCCTCATGACCTCCCAAAACCCAGCTTAAGGTGCTGCCACAAGGGCTGGGGGAGGACATTAAATGGCCTTGCAGCATAGTATGAGGGTCCTCCTTTCCAAAGTCTCCTTCCCAAAGCCAGGCAAGTGCTTACCGGGCTTTGAAAAGGGACCCTCCTTGGCTGCACGCCTAGTGCAAGCACACCACACACACTGCCCTAAATCAACCTCTGTCCAATCTTGTTGGACTCCAACTCCCATCAGCCCCAATCAGCACAGTCATTTTGTTTTTGGACTACAGTGTGTTGGCTGGGGCTCAAGAGAGTTGTAGTTCGAAATAATCAGAAGGCACCAGGTTGGGAATGCTGTTCATAACCTGTATGTGTCATCAATGATGAGAATGTAGCTGCCTGTCTCATTTCTGCAAGGCTAGGGACTAAACCCCAAGCAAAAGGATAACCATGCATTAAAATACTGAAGTTTTGAGGGCCAGCATCTTGACAAGGGAAGGTTAGTCTCTGAAATTAATTGAAGAAACATGAGGTAAAGTGGGGGGTTGAAAGAAGTTAGTCAGAGCACTTCAGCGGACAATTAAGATAAAAGGCTGGGGAGAGTAGAATGGGGGCAATATAAGCCATTAACCAATTATCACCATTTCATTCATCAACTGAATTCTATTCAACACCTCTAGAAGATCAAGAGGTTTGCAATTAATGTTGCAGCATCTGATTGGAGAAATACAGAAGGTTAACATTTCACAATCCTTCACCTCGTGTCTTGAAAGTAATAATACAGAGGAAAGGGAGAAATGATTCAAAGGTCTTTAATAGAAGTCTGGCCTCCTGCATTGATTATAACTCTGCAAATTGCTTGGAAACCAGGGAAGCATTAGATGAATACAGGCAAGACCCACAACAAAAATGGTCCAATGTGGAGGAGTTCTGTTCAGGATGCCAACCAGCTATGGCCTTTTCAGAGATATTCCATTCCATTCCCCTGGTTTTCTGTCGTCCCCCCACAACAGTAATCCATATTCCCTGGGCTGTTCTGGGGGTTTCTTTAAAAACATCAGATATATATTTTTGTCCCCTGAGCCTACTGACGTGTCTCTCTTGTGGGTGTGTGGTGCCATAAGGCCCAGTACACTGAGAATTGGAATAACTATTAATGTGTACATCATTGGTGGGTAGCCAAAGGCCCTCCAGATGTTGCTAGACTCCAACTCCCATCAACCCCAGAAGGCATGGCCAGTGACCAGGGATTATGGGAGGTGAAGGCTAACAACACATGAAGGTTGACAACTGTATAGTTGGTATACAAACTAAGGAATAATCCTTGCAGTGCCATTATTTCCATGGATATGTCTTGGAGGGCCTGGTCAGATCAAGAAGAAGAGTGGGGGAGCTTGAAGAGATGGAGCCTGGTGATCCTGAAGAGGGACACAGTGGGCTGGGCTGGGTCATATCTGGTGCCTGAAAAGCTTCAGAATTATCTGGGAAGGACACCACAGGTGTCAGACCCCAGGGAAGGATCAGGCAGGTTGTCAGAAGAGAAGCCCACTCAGGTACTATCAGACACACCCATTGCTTCATCTCATTACTCTCCCCACCCACAGGATAGGTGCCAGAAGAGAAGTCTCCTCCTGCTCTATCATCTAGGGCACAGAGACACCAGCTCCAATATGATCAGACAACTCAGGCACAGCCCTCTTGAAGAATTGCCCATTAGCTTGCTCAATCCAAAGATGATTTTTTTGCTTGCCACGCTAAAGCTGTGCCCACCCCGCTCTTTTAAAGCAGGTGGCCAGGCGCATGTGTCAATGGTCAGATAAATGTCTAAGTTAGCTTAGCCATGCTTAACACCTGTTGTGCCTTTAACCCTTGCTGTGCTGAAGTTGTTGGCCAATAATCCAAGTCTGAGTTCTTCATCCAACAAGAGCCAAGACAGTCAGGAGAATGCAGGTGTTGCAGTTCCAGCTGACTCCCACCACATTCTTCTTCTGGCTCATTCAAATAAAATCAAGTCCCAGGAAGTTTATAAGTGGAAGAGAACAGAGAAGGTGAGGCAAGGCAGAATGAAAACTAGACAGGCTGCAATTAGAGCTAGAGGGGAAAGGTTAATTCTAGGAGTAGCTCTCAGCGATAAGTAGCAAATACATTGCTGAATATATAAATACAACCTTTAGGCTGAAAGAAAGGTTCCACGACCCTGTTTTAAAGTTTTATTGTGACTTTATTTTGCAACTTGCCTCAGGGATTCCTGTAATTCAGAGCTGGGGTATAAATATTTTATAACATTTAACCAGTTTATTTTCATAAGATAAATCAAAGAGGAATAATACTGATTAATATCACTCTAGAAATATGTTTACAACTGTATTCATTTTAAATTAAGTATCTGACTGTCCCACTGCCATGGCTGTCCCACTGTGATTTCCAAACACAACATCCTTTCTCTACATGGAAAAAAAAAATCCAGAAACTTAGCAATTCAAGCCTTCAAGCTTTTCAGAACACAATTATCTTCCTTCTTGAGGAGAAACAAAATTCAAAATGGTTTCTGTCCTCCTAAGGCTGCCAGCCATTTAAAGTCTTTTTGTCTTTTTTTTAAAAAAAGGCTGATTCACTGCCTGGTTCTTATTCGATTAATTCACTCTAACTGATTGCATTTACACATGGAAAAGTCTAAGGAGGTATGTGCTTTCTAAAAATGCAAAATAGTTGTATCCCACCCTTTCTCCAAGAAGTTCAGAATGGCTTCCATAAGGTTTTCTTGTGTTATCTTTGCAACAACCCTTTGAGGATGACTAGGCTAAATTCATCATGCGAAAGGCTGGATTGGATGAATCCCAAACTGGAATTAAGATTGCCAGAAGAAATATCAACAACCTCAGATATGCAGATGACACAACCTTGATGGCAGAAAGTGAGGAGGAATTAAAGAACCTTTTAATGAGGGTGAAAGAAGAGAGCACAAAATATGGTCTGAAGTTCAACATCAAAAAACCGAAGATCATGGCCACTGGTCCCAGGACCTCCTGGCAAATAGAAGGGGAAGAAATGAAGGCAGTGAGAGATTTTTCTTTCTTGGGTTCCATGATCACTGCAGATGGTGACAGCAGTCACGAAATTAAAAGACGCCTGCTTCTTGGGAGAAAAGCAATGGCAAACCTAGGCAGCATCTTAAAAAGCAGAGACCTTGCCGACAAAGGTTCATATAGTTAAAGCTATGGTTTTCCCAATAGTGATGTCCACTGGAAGGACAGATCCTGAAGCTGAGGCTCCAATACTTTGGCCACCTCATGGGAAGAGAAGACTCCCTGGAAAAGACCATAATGTTGGGAAAGATTGAGGGCACAAGAAGAAGGGGACGACAGAAGACAAGATGATTGAACAGTGTTCTCGAAGCTACCAACATGAGTTTGACCAAACTGCAGGAGGCAGTGGAAGACAGGAGTGTCTGGTGTGCTCTGGTCCAGGGGATCACGAAGAGTCAGACATGACTAAACAACAAGGCTAAAATACAGCAGGTGAAAGACTAACCCCTGGAGTGAACTTCATGGCTATGTAATCATTTGAACCCAGGTCCCTCCAGTTCAACCAACAATCTACACCACCCTAGGCCTATGTAATTTATCTCCAGTTCAGGGCTGGAATCTTTACAATAAACCCTCAACTTACACAGGGGTTATGTTCTGGAGATTTAGCCAAAAGACAAAATTGGATATAGTCAATTGGAATTGCTAAAGTTATTTTTCCTGGAATCCCTCCTATTTTTCACACACACACACACTTTAAAAAAAAAAAATGCCATGTGCGTAAAGCTGAATGTGCACAACTTAAATGTGCACAAATTGCAGGCTTATTGTGGTATTGGCCACTTTGGATGGTGAAGTCAGAACCATGGATAGCTCCCAATGAAGTAGTATTGGTCTGAATAGTCAAAGATCAGTAGGAAGTCAGCAATTCTGCTCCAGTGCTGACCTGGATCTGACAGAAGTTTTATTTCACAGGTAGTCAACCATTGGCCAAGACCTAAAAGGTCCCCAGCTTCATTTTATGTGACCCCACCAAACACCTCTTGGAGATGCCACATTTTCCCATCCTATCAGAGTTTCTCCCTGATAGTTTCCCCTGCATTTTTTCTGGCTTTTGAAATTGTTTCTCTCTCTCTGCATAAAATAGATGGACAAATGGATATATGAACAGATCTGTTTCAGAACTTTTGGAATGGGCAGCATTTTATTTGATAAACATAAATTGATTTGTTTTCACCATTCTCACCATCATCATTTTACTTTTTTAAGGGTTTTTTCCCCAGCTGTCTGACAACAATTGGTAGGCTTCTGTGCTCTGCATCTCTATGTGCAGAATACAGTAAAATCAGAAAGGAATTACTTTCACTTTGTTAGCAAAACAAGAGCCATATTGTTCAGCAGTAATGCCTTTAAAAATTATCCATATATTCATTTGAAAGTAACCCCCTTAAATTCAGTGCAGCTCACTTCTGAATAGACACCTGCATATTTAGTGCACGTGTTCTTGGTTGAGGTTGAAAGGCCTCTTTTAAACCCCAGGCATAGTAATGCAGAGGAGGAAAGCTCTCTTGCCTGGCATGCAGTTCAGGGAAGGAGTTATCTGAGACCCAGGAGGCCAGCAAATTACCTCCTCTACGACCAAGGATAGAAGCCTCACTCTCTGTTAAGGCTTCTCCTGCATGCAAGTCTGAGGCCTGCATTTGAGAGTCTACCTCTTGGGGAATTTCAGGGGCCAACCATCATCACCCTCAGGGTCCTTCTCTTCTGACCAGAAAGTCATGGCAATTTGAGCCTTCCACGAGGCTTACAAAATGCAGGAAGCAAAAGGATTAAGCGGTTAAACAACAAAGCGAAGTTTGCCAAGAATACAAGGATGCCTGCATTTCCAGCCAAGTTATGTCAGCAGATTTTCACTAATAATCCATATTATTTTATTTAATTGTCAGTGCTTGGTACACGGTGTTGGCTGTAAGCTTGTCACAAGAATGACTTATATTGCTTTGCCTGACACGTGGGGTAAAAAAACAGCACTAAAAGATTGAGCAGAGGAAAATAGTGCTCACATAAATAAATAAATAAATAAATAAATAAATAAATATCAATACTCTAATGCAGAAGGTTGGAAGGGGGAGATTCCAAGTCCCACTTCAACTATTCAGGTTTCATGGAACCTAGCTCCAAAAACCAAACAATCAAACCCACTACACTACACTTCACCAACCTAGTTGCACTCTGTTCAGAACTGATTCAGGCAGAGCAACAAATCTTAAATTGACAATAGGCTTGTTTCTACACACACTTGCACATCCCTCTCTATCCTCCAAGCAGGCAAGAAAAGGGCACTATCAGAGTTCAAGGGAATGTTCCAGACAGATTTTTTTAAAACAAAAACAAACCCACCACAACTCAGGGTAAAAAAGCAGGGCCAGTGAGAGGTATGGCTTGGGAAGAGGGGCATGGTCTGAGAGTAGGCCGGCAGGACCACATTCTCCCCCTAGGCCTGAGGTTCCACACTCCTAATGTAAGTGCTTGCAGAAATGGTCCACTCATGTGAGCAGTGTAAGTTTAGAGGAGAAAACTCACAGGATTCTTCCCATCTCATTGTTCCCCTTCCCCTTTATCCATACCATCCAAGGAACAGGGCAGGTGGGTGCAAATGGACTGAATCCTCTTTCTCCAACCAATGCCTCAAAAACAACAACAGCAACAACAACCTTACAAGGGCAGGGGCATGTGGGAGGAAGGAGACAAGTGATTTTTGTTTTCTAAGCAACCTACCATAATGATCCATGTGGAACTAAGTTGTAGAAAATGTCCAAGAAACATTAAACTTACAAATGTTTGGTAAACCTGGGGTTCCAACCTTTCCCACAATTTAAGTCCATGAACATCTCTGTAAAATGTTGGCCAAGAGGTCATCTGGTGTAGAAACACATTCATAAGAGGTGCTGTATAGGATAACACACACAAACAATTTCTATTACATAATGTTTCCTAAGGTAGCTAACCAGATGCCTTCAGAAAGGTTTGAAAGTAGTGCCCCTCTTATGCTTTTGCTCCCTGGCAGCTGATATTTGGGGACATACAGTAGTACCTTGGGTTAAGTACTTGGGTTAATTCGTTCCGGAGGTCCATTCTTAACCTGAAACTGTTCTTAACCTGAAGCACCACTTTAGCTAATGGGGCCTCCCACTGCCGCTGTGCCGCCGGAGCACAATTTCTGTTCTCATCCTGAAGCAAAGTTCATAACCCGAGGTACTAATTCTGGTTTAATGGAGCCTGTAACCTGAAGCATATGTAACCCGAGGTACCACTGTACTGCCTTTGAAACTGGGAGTTCAATTTGGCTATGATGATGGATACACACTAGCCAACCTATCATAAGAACCCAAGAAAATTTTGCTACCTGAGACAAAGGACAATGTTCCCCCACCCTTCCATGTACAGAAGCCAACCAAAATGGTGGACAGGATTGCACCCTCCACCACAACCAAGGGTAGCTGACTAGGCTGTACAGAACAAACTCTGTGGCATGCACAGTGAAGTCCTCCAACATCTTGGCACCACTCTCTACTGCCTTAGATGAACATAAGATGAGTTCTGCTGGATCAACCCAAAAGAAGTCCATCTAGTCCAGTATCCTGTTAATACAGTGGCCTACCAAATGCCCATAGGAAGCCTGAAAGAGGGACCTGAGCACAACAGCACTCTCCCCACCTGTGATTCCCAGCAATCAACATTCAGAGGTATATAGCCTCCAGCCTTTATTCTACCTTCATGGATTTGTCCAACCCTATTTTAAACCCACTGGGCACAACAATCCCACTCAGATACACCAGGAAGCAGATAGGCTGCAGTGTAACAGTTTGATATCCAGTCCTGGTCAATATGGCCTCCATCTCCATTATCAAAAAGAATTATCAAAAAGAATAAATCAAGTACAGATATTCTTGATTACTCCATGGGCTTTCTGCAAATCAGCTGCGTGGAGCTCACAGGCTGCTAGTGGTCTGTGGACCACCATTTGAGAACTTCTCATAATGGATACTCAAAACAAATACTCTCTTTAAATGTACAGTATTTTAAAAATTCTTAAAGATTGCCAGTGCATTCCTGGGCTTCTCCAAATTTTGTGACTTTGTAGCTTAATGCCATCATTGGCAGCTACACACACACACACACACACACACACACATACACTTCGTCATGTTAATGGAAACAAAAATGTATGCCTTGATGTCAAAGTGAATTAGCCAAAATGAGAGCTCATGAAGCAAATTAAATGTTTTGCCAAAATGAATAATTCCAGGTTGGAGTTCCGGAACTACACACATCAAAATTGACTATTCATCAATGGAAATGAAAACTCAAAATCTGATTTGCAAGTTTGAGAAGCACACTAATTCAACACAGCTCCATCTTCCAGAATACCCACCACTTAACACACACACAATAACTTTCAGAAGGCAAAAAGATTGGCTCACTTCATTTCAAATCATTATTATTATTTATTACATTTGCATACCGCCTTTCATCTAAAGATTATGTTGTAAACATAATTTTATGTTGTAAACATAAAAAATACAAAATGAGAACACAAAATACACAACAAAAACAAGTCAATAAACACGCCCGCCCTCCCACCCCCTATTTATTTAAAAGGGCATAGAATGTTTACTCAGCCAGAAGCCTGGTTATAGAGAAAGTTTTTGCCTGGTACCTAATGATATGTAATGAAGATGGCAGACAAGCCTTCCCACAAATGGGAAGCCTCCACAAAAAAGCCTTATTCTCCTGTTGCTGCCTCTCTGGACCTCATATGAAGAGAGGTGATTCTTGAGATATTGCGGTCCTGAGTCATTTAGAGTTTTATAAGTCAAAAACAGCAATTTGAACTAGGCTCAGAAACTGGGCTACCAGCTGAAACTGATGGTAGGCCACTGAGGTCTCCTGAGCCTCAAGCAACAGCAAAGGATCCAGGAGTACCCCCATGTACCTGCCCTTTCAGAGGGAATGTAACCCCACCAAAAAGCAGGCAAACTCTCATTCATCTGGTCTAGAGAACCACTCACTAACAGTCTTATCTGGATTCGGCCTCAAGTTTGTTGGCTCACATCCAGTCCATTACCAATGTGGTTTATTATTTTATTTATTTGCCCCATCCACCTTTGTGATAGATTATTGGTAGAATGGGGAGTGCATAGCAGAGGATAAGGCTATCAACATTTCTACCAAGAACATAAAGATTGAAGAAGAGCCCTGCTGGATCAGGTGAAATGCCCGTCCAGCATCCTCTCCTCACAGGGACCAACCATATAAACACAAGCAGAGTCTGAACTCGGCAGCACCTGTGATTTCCAGAAAATAGTATTCAGAAGAATCTTGCCTCTAACAGTAGAGATAAAGCATAGCACTGATCTCCTTATCCTCCATGGTTTTGTCCAATCCTCTTTTAAAGCCATCCAAGTTGGTGGCCTTCACTGTCTCCTGGGGAAGTGTGTATACCATGAGCTGTGTAAAGTGTTTTCCTTTTTCCCCTCCAACATTTGGTTTAATTAGATGTCCCTGAATTCTAATATAGGAACATAGGAAGCTGCCTTGTGCAGAGTCAGACCATTGCATCCATCTAGCTCAGAACGGTCTACACTGACTGGCAGCAGCCAGCTCTCCAGGGTTTCAAACAGGGTTCTCACCTAGCCCTACCTGGGGATCCTGGGACACATGCAAAGCAGATGCTCTACTACTGAGCTACTGCCCTTCCTCCTAGTATTATGACAAGAGGGGTCATGTATGCAGTGCTAGCAGAAGCACTTGAATAACTCAGACAGACTCCAGAGAAAAAATAAGCTACCATTTTGCTGTGTAAACTGAATTAAAACAGGATATAATTTGAGGGAAAAGGGACAGATGTTTTGTCTTTGCTAATTCAGGCCTTGTTAAGAGCAGGGTTAGATATTCAACTCCTTCAGAACTACACAGCACATCAGAACTTCAGTTACCTCAGGAACAATCTTGCCACGCTGACTGGTTGCTAGGTAACACCTTCTACACCACAACTGCCCTCTTGGCTGGATGTCTAGCAGTCAACAGAGTTAACCCTTAGGTTACTAACAGAATGATCCCTGCTGTTGCTCTTCTAACATACTGAGCCTGGGATAACAACTGCTCTAGTAAAAGGAATCAATATATTTTCAAATACTACAAACTCTAGATTCTGGGATTTTTCTTTCTTTCTCTTCCTTACAAGTTTTCATGCCCTCTTTTTCCAGCCAGGAGCAGCATCAGGGGTAGGTATGGTCAGACATTTGCCAGTGCCCTTTATGTTTAGGAATCTGTGAAGAGTCTGACATCTCACCACTGCCTCCTCCTCTTCCATGTTGTTGCTACTTGTTTATTCACCCTTCATCTGGCCCAGAGGAGATAAGCAAGCAAGCAGCACCAACCAAAAGCAGGATAAGCAAAAGATGTTCCTGCCTACATCATCAGAACTCTCCCTGGCATGAGAGCAGCCAGTGGCAATGGTAGCGAGGATGGTAAGAGTTTGTACAAAGAAGGTGGCCTACACTCAGGGACACTTACCCAAGACCCCCACTCACCCAAAAAAAACAACCTAGTGCTGGATTTTCCCCCAAGTTGTTTGTACTGTGTGTGTCCCTTAATTTGCTGCACATCTCCATAGTGTGTCCTGTTAAATGCCTCGGTCATCTCTTTTTCCAGACACAACTATCTGACCTCTCTCCACCAAGCTTTCCATTACAATCAGCATCATCAGGACTCCCTCAACCTCACTGTCTAATGAGGTTAGAAGAATCCTGTACATCTTGTCATGTTTCCCATCTAATCGGCCATTTTTCCTTAATGAAGGTAGGCAGGAAGTGACAACGTGAGAGACCTCTGGAAGATGGCCATATCCACGGCAAGCTGCAGGGGTCAAAAAGGTGCAGTTCAATCTGAGTTGCAAGACCACAGAAGGGAAATGAAATATTTTATTTCCTTTCCCTCTTACAGTCCCTGACATTTCACAGGGCAATGTACATAGAAACGATAATCCCTCACTAGGGCTCAACTAAACGTTCTCAAAATGATCAATAAATTAGCAATAAGATCCAGACAGAGAGAGACAGACAGAGAGACACAGAGAGAGAAGCGGATTTCTCTAATCTCTAACCATGCTCTGCCCCCAAGGGGCAGTTCTTAAAAATACAACACTTACATTAGCCTTGTTATAACTGCATTTTGAACATGTATTTTTAAAAATCACAACATTTATAAGCCAGAGAGGCAGAACTTAAGGAAATTTGAAAGAGCCAATCTACCATCTAAAGGACCATCTCTGACAAATATAAAGGTTGCCTTCTGAAGTCCTTCTGCAGCTTCAAAGATTAGGCAGTTTCAGCCAGAGGAAGGGCCTCCTCAGTTGTGGCACTCTCTCAATAGTTTTGGCTGATGCTATATCTTAATTTTTTTCTGCAGCTCGTGAAGATCTTTTTTACTTAGCTTGGACTTTAAAAACATACAATAGGAGCTATTTTAATTCCTGCTGATCTGTGCTTGTCTTTTGTGATGGCACAGGCTGTGGCATACACAGTGAGAGGGAAAGGAGGCAAGCAAACCAGCCAAATAATAATAATAATAATTTATTATTTATACCCTGCCCATCTGGCTGGGTTTCCCCAGCCGCTCTGGGTGGCTTCCAGGAAAATATTAAAATACAATAGTCTGTTAAACATTAAAAGCTTCCCTAAACAGGGCTGCCTTCAGATGTCTTCTAAAAGTCTGGTAGTTTTGTTGTTAACTTCACCAATGCCACCAAGTGGCAAACTTTATTCTTCTCTAGCCTTCACTAAACAACCCCTTTAACTAGCCCAACTTACTCCCAATACTGGTAAGAGTGGTGTGGCACTTTGAAGTGGTGTGAATAACATGTCCCCAATTTTTCCAACACAAATTATGCTTTTACTAAATTTTAAGGAAAGCAACATGTTAAATACTTTTTGGAAAAGTGAATTTAGAAAAGAGGAAAGCTTAATTTTACAGTTGAAGTAATTACTCCTGGAGCAAAAAATAATCAGATATCAATATATCCAGCTATACCTCTTCTAGACTGTTTCCCTAACCAAGAACAAGCCCCCAACCGATATGTCTGCAGGGAGCTTTGTTTTCATTGTAACATACAAATGTATTATTTCCATCCCTGCATTCTGAAATGGCACAATCCAGGAAGAGCTGCAACAGATTTGTAACTCAGCTCCAAGCCAGACATTGTGCTTGTCCTAAATGCAAAGTGGAAAGTTGAGTATCTTGGCTACTTATTTCCATTTTTAAGTCTGCTCCTGTATACTTCCTGCAACCAACATATTTCCTATCCATCTTCATGAAACTCAAGGTTTACACAGCAAGAATATGAATCACTTAAACACAAGAGTAGCTTTTATAGGTTTCCAGTGAGCTGATGTCACAGCATAACTCACTTTGTGTTTTGCATCCAAGAAGAATGAGGTCAGGGTCAAATCATAACAAAATGCAGAAAAGGCTTTCTATGCTCATAAATCTTCAACTGAAGCAAAGTGATTTCTGAATCTTTAACCACCACCATGCTTGGCTTGGCTTGGCTAGAAGAGATTCATTTTAACAACACCTTGTTTAGAAAATGAGCATGTGTTTGTGTTACTTACAAACGCTCCAAAGGTCAGATTCGTCAGAAATAGTTGTGCAGGCAATAAAACTTGAACTAGTTACAAAGTGGTGAAAATCCCTAAATTATTGGTACAGGAACTCAAGAGTAGTTTGTAAAAGCCATTGGGTGTGAGCTGCCGCGAGCAGCAAGGGCCTAATCTGGCCCGCCAGTCGGTTTAATCTGGCCCATGTGGCAGTTTATTTCCTGGGGTAAAAATCCTAAAAACCCTCAACAACTTCAATCTTTAAAAAGAGCTCAACAACTTCAATCCTAAAATAAGGTTAACAACTTTGGTCGGCCCTTTGGTCGGCCCTCACAGCCCTTCACTTCATCAAATCTGACCCTCTTTGAAAAAAGTTTGGCCACCATTGAAGGGTTAAAGTCAAAGAGTTCAAGAGAAGCAGAGAAGGGGGTCTGGATGTCAGGTGCTGCAGAGTGTGTGTGACTACTGGATCACATGCTCTCTGTGCCGACGTTCCATTGTTTGGAAGCGAGGGAACAGAAGGAACTGTGCGCCACTTCCGTCTTCTTTGTTCTGTGTTCTGTTCTGTTGTTGTTCTCTCTCGGAGGGCCCCCCCCCCCCCATGGCTCGGAGGGGTGTGTTTTGGCTGCTGAGCTGTGCTCACCATTGTGAGGGCTGAGAGGGTGATGGTGATACCACCCCAGCTGCTGCCATTGTCTGTGGGTTGACTGTGATGTGGCAAAAACATTTGGCTGCTGAGTGGGTATAAATGTGGGCCAAGGCGCAAGCCTCAGCAGTTGCCCTCCCCAGAGAGAAATAGGCAGCTCGGTGGCACTCAGCCCAGGTGGTCTCCTGCCCCATGGCGGGAAGCTGGCAAGCGGAAGGAGGCAATCGCCCGGTGCTGGGATGCTGTGGAGCAAGGAGAAGGCAAGTACAAAGTTTACTTGCTGGTGGGATCGATACTAGAAGGCAACTGATATTCAGCTCTGAAGCTGGTTGATGTCTGGCAATGGACCTGGCTAAGCAGCAGCTGGTGGATGGTTGTCAGAAGAGTTTGCATTCAGGCCATTGGATGCCACGAGGCTACGCTGGCTGAGATGGATGCAAACTGGTTTGAAAGCCTTGTTTGTGAACAGGCAGCCAAACAGAGGAGGAGTCTGGGGGGACGCTGTCGGATGGGGGCCATCCCACCCACCTGTTTGCCTTTGCCTTACAGGGATGTCTGGAGCCGGTGAGGTTTTCCCCAAGTCCAGCCTTCAAAGTCATGGAGAGAACCGCAGGACGTCCCTATTTACATCGGAGAAGTGAATGTGAAATCCTGGCAATGAGCAATGGACAAGGCTGTGGCCATACCTGAGAGAAGAAGCTTTGAAGGGAGACTGCAGGCGGACATCTGCTGCATTGCAAGTGATGGGGCAGTGGGGAGAGAGAAGAAAATGAGGGAGCAAACATTAGGCCACATTAGGCGCACTGTCCATTGAAAGTGCTATGAAGACGCTTTAAACAGGAATGGCTTTCCCTCAAGGATTCTGGGAACTGTAGGTTGTTAAGGGGACGGAGGGTTGTTAGGGTGGTTTAGGATTAGGATTAGAGTTAGGATTAGAGTTAGAGTTAGGGTGAGGGTAGGGGTAGGGTTCCCTTCTTGCCAGGGAACTCTGGGAATTGTAGCTCTAGTTAAGGGTTAAGGGTTAGCATTGGGGTTAGAGTTAGGGTTAGCGTCAGGGGTAGGGGTAGGGTTCCCTTCTTGTTAGGGAACTCTGGGAATTGTAGCTCTAGTTAGGGGGCAGGGTTAGGGTTAGGGTTCCCTTCTTGCCAGGGAACTCTGGGAATTGTAGCTCTAGTTAAGGGTTCCCTTCTTGCCAGGAAACAGGGGGTCTCCTAACAACTCTCAGCACCCTTTTCAAACTATAGCTCCCAGATTCTTTGGCGGAAGAAGCCATGAGTGTTTAAAGCGGCTTCATAGCGCTTTAAATGGTGTGGATGTGGCCCTGGCCTCCCTCACCTCACTGCCTCTTATTATTGTGGAATAGAAAGGATTTCCCCATTCAAATCTCTCAGAAACAGGAAACAGGAAGAAGCCAGACTTTTGTATCTCATGCCATTTTGAAATGTCTTAACATGAAATGCCAAAAAAGGTATTTGTATTGTATTGTATTGTATTCTGATTAATGTGGGAAGTGGAATGGTAAAATGTTAATGAGGCGGACTCGATACTTCTGTAAACTAGTATGCCCTTTCTTGTGGGCGTGGCAGGAGGGACTTGCGACAGGACAAGCGACTTTATGTGTTTTTCCTGAGGAAGGTGTGCCTGATCTTGGGTTACCCCACTTGCAAGCGTGTATAATAAAAATGTTTCCTAATTTATCCATTTTGTCCAGATCACTTTATTTAAAAGGATCCAGAGACCTTAAATCAAAGGAACCAGTTTATTTATCTCTCACAAAGGGCAAAATAAATAAATAAATAATACCAATCCTCCAACTGCCAAAACAAACTGTCTTGCAGCACTGTAAAAATTAAAGATTTTGGGGAAACTTTTTAAAAATGGGAGGGTCAGGGGGCCTTGGTGGGTGCTAAGGAGGGTATCTTAGGGTGCCATGGAGTCCACATGCCACACGTGTCACAAGGGGGGGGCTCCTCAGTTACCTTTTGTTTATTTATAAATGCGCCCCCCCCCTTGAGGCCTAGTTTCCCCAGCCTTGTCTATGGCTGGGCTCCTGTGATGTCACAAACAGACATAGGAGCTGAGGGGAAAGAGGCAGTTTCTTATTCTAGAATTTCAAACACAGGAGGGCAGGAGGGGGACATTTTTCTGCCCAGTGGTTGCATTTCCCTCCACACAACACTAGTCAAATGCACAAATGAACAGAGCAATGAAAGCAAGCCTTATCTTTGCACAGGAAGCTGTTCAAGGAATGACATGCAGAGAGGAAGCACCACGCCCAATTAAACCTATTAAGAAATAGCTTATCGAATCCCCTGAAATGCAGGAAACTCAACTGAAATTTAGGAAATGTATGTATTTCTGCATGTGTTTATAGTATCCATATTGCTATTCGGAATACTCAAAATGGGGGGGGGGGACCTCAGCTGCACATCCACCTCCCTTCATTTTTGGGGGGGAGGGTCTCCCTCCCTCCCCTACCTGCCCAGCAGCTTCCCTGCCTGCTATCTCCCCCTCCATCATCACACTGGCATTGCATCCTCCCCCAGCTCCCCCCCCAAAAGCTTGCTGCACCCCAAGGCAGTTTGCCCTCACCTGAACCCTTGCAGGGAAAGGGGCAGGGCACAATGGAAAGGGGTGGGGCGACCAGGCTGCTTAAACCATGCCCATTTTCCAACGGAAGCAGCATGGGGGGGTCAGTATCCATTACCCCCTTCTCTGCTTCTCTTGAACTCTTTGACTTTAACCCTTCAGTGGTGTCCAAACTTTTTTCAAAGAGGGCCAGATTTGATGAAGTGAAGGGCTGTAAGGGCCAACCAAAGGGCCGGCTAAAATCGTTAGCCTTTTTCTAGGATTGAAGTTGTTGAGGTTTTTTAGTGATATTTTTACCCCAGGAAATAAACTGCCACAGGGGCCAGATTAAACTGACCAACAGGCCGGATTAGGCCCCAAAAATGGACTCTGGACATTAAGTGCATTGTGCAATCAGTTTAGGCAGACAGCAAGGAGTATATCTTTGTAAGAACAAAAACATACAGCAGGCATGTCCAAAGTCTGTTTTGGAGGCCTAATCTGGCCTGCTGGTCGGTTTAATCCAGCCCCTGTGGCAGTTTATTTCCTGGGGTAAAATAAGTACTTGCTTTGAGCTTCAAGCAAACAAAGCCACAGTTAATATTCGGTGCTTTCGTTATTTACCGTATTTTTTGCTCTATAAGACTCACTTTTCCCCTCCTAAAAAGTAAGGGGAAATGTGTGTGCGTCTTATGGAGCGAATGCACGCTGCGCAGCTATCCCAGAAGCCAGAACAGCAAGAGGGATTGCTGCTTTCACTGCGCAGCGATCCCTCTTGCTGTTCTGGCTTCTGAGATTCAGAATATTTTTTTTCTTGTTTTCCTCCTCCAAAAACTAGGTGCGTCTTGTGGTCTGGTGTGTCTTATAGAGTGAAAAATACGGTACTTACTGCACTTATATCCCACTTTTCTTCCAAGGCAACATGCTGGATTCTCTTCCTCTCCATTTTATCCTCACAACAAGCCTGTGGGGTAGGTTAGAGTAATAGACAGTGAATGGCCTCAGGCTACCCAGCAAGCTTCATGCCTGAGTGGAGATTTGAACCCTGGTCTCTGGAGTCCTAACCCAACACTCTTAAGCTCTACCCCACACTGACCAGCTCATATAGCATGCTGTATTCACTGTTCTGTCCCTGGCTAAATCCTTCCTGTGGTTAGGAAACACGTTTTGCCAGCCAGGCAAGGGACTTCTTCAGCACGACCTGCAAAGCAAGCACATTTCAAGCGATGACGTTCAGTTTGTTATGGCTGCTTGGCAGCGGGCCAAAGCAACCTTTATTATTTGCATTTCCTCCACACATGCAGACAGACAAATGCCTTTTCCCACAACAAGGTCATTCAATACCAAGGCTATTAAATTAAGATTTCCTCTAAAACGAGGCCTCATTATCAGGGCTAATTAAAGGATGACAAAAAAAAGATCTCCTGGGCAAGTCCCTCTCTACTGCTGAGGCTTGTGCACGACTAGGCTATTTCGTGGGAAAGCATTTGATTAAAGTTATTAAAAGCTCTTTTAATCGCTGTATGAGCAGGACTCCTAACTAGCCACATTTGAGCTATAGGAAATAGCAAAAGGTACACTGGAGCTTTTGCAGATCATTGTAAATGTGCACTTCTTAGGGCCAAACTAGATGAGAGTCAATCACACTATTAGTCATTGCATTAATGGCTTTTAAAACAATAAACAGCAAGGAGGAGGACAGGGGAGGGGAGTTTTCACCCAGACTGGGAATCTGGCATGGACAAAGGGAAAAGCAAGCCTTTGCTTTCCTGCTGCAGTCCAGAGCTGGATTGCCCTATCAATACCTCTATGCTAGCAATTCACATTAAAAGATAAGTTCCCATTCGAGCCAATGCAAGCTTTTCTTTACAATGAAGGAAGAAGGCCTGATCCAGATCAAAACTATACTGACAGGTAAAGCCACTCCACCCCCTAAAAGGGTCCCTATCCTTATCAATCTTCTGTTGTTGTTTTTTGTGGGGGTTTTAAATGTGAGCTAAGCAATTAGCAATCCCATGCATCTCCTAAAGTTACCTGATTGGTTGGATCAGAAATGAGAAGACCTGTGGCCCTCCAGGCCCCTCAGTTTGGCCCTCAGAACGCTCACCAGACCACATTCCACTCACCAGGCCACATCCCTCAATAGCCCTGCTCTCTGGCCTCACTGGATGCATCTTTGTATATCAACAGTCTACAGTGGTGCCTCAGGTTACATATGCTTCAGGTTACAGACTCTTCAAGTTACAGACTCCGCTAACCCAGAAATAGTACCTCGGGTTAAGAACTTTGCTTCAGGATGAGAACAGAAATTGCACGGCGGCAGTGGGAGGCCCCATTAGCTAAAGTGGTATCTCAGGTTTAGAACAGTTTCAGGTTAAGAACGGACCTCCAGAACAAATTAAGTTCTTAACCTGAGGTACCACTGTATATCTGCTCCCACCATGTCTCTCCAGAATCTTGCAATGACAGCAGTAAGTAAACGTCCAACCAGTTCACTGCCATACAGACAGAAGGGCCGGTTGTGAGTACGCTGGTTTCTCTTCAGATTGTAGGAAGCTTTTGCCCTTTTTTACATTGTTTTGATGCTTTATTTACATTGAAATGAATATGTGTTATGTAAGTAACGCATGTTACAAGCTGAAGGCAGGCTGAATAGGGGAATATTGGTTGAAAATCAAACTGCAGCAGAATGCAAACAGCACTGATTGTGAAAAATAGGGGTTAAAATAGAAATTGCTGGCTGCCTTCCTTCATCCATAGTGATTTTTGTAACACAAAAGAATAGCAAGCAAAATGGCCAGAGGACAGGGCACTCCTTTTCTAGCCATCTACATAAAGCATGTAGGGTACAGAAACTACCTAACCGCTTAAATGTTCAAGGGAACTCTGCCACTTTCCTGATGCAACACAACATTTAATTACAGCTTTTTTGCGCACCAGGAACACTGCAAGCAACTCTTAGGGAAGGTCTAATTTTCACATTATGCCCTTGTCTTTCGAACTTTAGCAACATAATCATACCATAGCAAGCTCTGCACTGTCTGTGCTGTTATCCAAAATGGGATTGTTGAGAACGATTGACTGCATTATAGGGAGCAGTGTAATACTGTACATGATAATCCTGGCTTTTGTTTTGTGTGTTTAGAGCAAGGAAGGGTAGCAGAAATGCTCTGTTCTTAAAGACATCATGGTCTGCTATCATAGCAACACCGCCTCGTTCAGCTCCAAGTTGCATAAGATGGCTTTTTTATTATAACTGTTTTGCAAGCGACAAGTTGAAGATGCAATGCGCTGTCTGTAAGAACAGAATGGAGGCCTTTAAATGCATGATCTTGTCATGAAAACACATTTCAGCTTCAAATAAATTGCTTTTAATATCTGCAGCATTCGCCGACGCAACAACTGAGGGTCAGTCGAAAAAGAGCCTTAATGGCTTAGTGGTTGTAGAGCTGAAATGGGCAGATTTCTCAAACAAATTCTCCTAACTTAATCATGCTTGTAAAAGTGAATGCCTATTCTCCAAACCCAGCGGTTTTCTAGATTATGAATGCTGTCAGAATATAAGAATTTTAGATAGGAAAAACAAGGTCAAGCACTTTTAAGCTCCATTAATTTTAATAGTCAGGGCTTAGTGCTTTTCCTGGTGAAGCATAGTGGGTAAGAGAATGCGCTATCAATCAGGAAGCCCCAAGTTCACATCCTGACATGAACTGAGTAGGCTGCCCAAAGCAAGCCACTCTCAGCCTCAGTCCTCACATCTGTAATATGGTGATACTACTGACTTGGCTCTCATGAGACTTAATTATACACGTGAAGCACTCTGAACTCTTGAACGTGCTACACAATGCCAAGTAGTATTATTTCACAGAATGATATTGATTTAATTAATGGATTTCCTTTTACATTTGTTGCCAGGCAGTTTTAAAATGTACCATGCATAGCTAAAAAATAGTTTTAGAAGAACAGTACCAAAAAAACAAACAAAAACCTAACTAAAGAAAGGTTTTTAAATAATACAAAATGAGCATCTAAGGCAGAGACCTTTTTATCCAGCTGAAAAGGCTTTTGGATACAAATATGCCCTCAATTAGGGACAAGGGTGGCGCTGTGGGTTAAACCACAGAGCCTA